ATAAAACAACAGCACTGTGATTTTTTAACAGAGAAGTGTCCTTATAACGAAATGTAAAAACGGAGCCATCAAAAAAGAAAAAAAGACAGATTTCGTTACACAACTCTTCCCTAGGTGTTAATATCTGTCTAATTTGAAATAACAAATGACTCAGTAAATCTAAAATAATATTAAATCATTTGCTAGTGGCATTATGATATAACTTGAGAAACAAACAAATTAAATCTTAAAAAGATGATCAAAATCATTATGGCTCTTGAAGTCACAAAAAAGCACTATCTGACATATTTATCTACATAATTCTTAAAACCTTCTCTTCTTAAGCAAACAATCTTAACTGTAAAAAACTGGCCTGACACCAGGTTTAGAACTGGTATTGTTTACCCTCCAGAGTTCCACCTGTGACTGATTATTTTGCTACATGCTTTTGGAGAATGAACAAGAACATTACTGATTAAAGTCCATAAATCTATGACCAAAAACTAGTAATAAAAGGAAAAAAAAAGAATCAAACAAACCAAATGAAACAAATGCGCAAATCCCCCAAATGACCTGTGCCTCCTAAAGCTTTAGGAAGGTTATTAAAAAAGGAAAACTCTGTCTTAGTAGGTCCCATCTTAGATGCTGGGTAGCTGCCTGGAACTAGAAAGCCTTTTCTCAAATGATCATTAACAATGGCAACTCATTTCCTGGCTAGGCCAAATTCAACCTACCATATTTAATAACATAAATGAAGACTATATACCAACTATAACAAATAATGAAACTAACGTAAACATACTAGACCACACTATGACACATGTTTCTCTGCCCTGGACAGATTTGTTTTAACCTCCATTTACTTGCTCCAAGTTCAACTGCCCTTCCACAAGTCCCGGGATGTGTCAATGACCTATAAACACCACCCCAGTTTCCATAGATTTGGCTTTTACTCTTTGACAACCAATTTCCTAGCTACCAATCCAAGTACTTTCTGAAAGTATCCACATTCATTTCACATGTTTCAACAGTTAAATATTTTAAAAACAGAACTTGTATATTCCTTTCTCAATTCAAGACTGTAGTACAGGTAGAAATAGATATGAGAAGGGAGAGAAGGACTGTTTGGACCTTGCCTTAGCCCCAATTAGATCTGACTCCACCAGATCAGTCCACCTTCAAACTATGAACACCAATACTTCATAGGTTGCATAGAGGCAATGAAAAGTGTCCTCACTCTTTACCCAGAACTATGCCTGCATGTGATAAGTGATGAGGATAAAATGATTATATAACTTCAAAATTTCATCTTCCTCAAACAGGAGTCCCTCTCCCTTCCCCTGTAGCACTCATCACCTTCTCCCTTTTGCCCCTTCTAAGTGAGTTTAAGCCTGCCTAGGCAAGCCTCAATGCTCTAACTTCAACTCCTAAATTGATACACATTTTTCAACAAAATAAAAGGTACCATATCCATGAACAGTGCAGTGTAGATCCCTACCTCCACATGCATGTGAATACATATTCCATAAATAGGGTTGTTTAAAAACATGCTGTCAAAAAGAAACATAGTGGCACAGGTGGTATGTGGTCTTTTGGGGGGTCATGCTGGCTATTAACTGTCCAGCATGTTTCTATGCTAAATGTCAGTGACACAAAAGCCACTAATAAGCATTTATTAAAATAAATGCAATGGGTAATGTGGATGATTGGGATATTTATAGATTAGAGAATAAATAAGATTCATCAATTTTAACGAGTCTCATACAAATTTTCTTCATTAAATATACATTTTGAAACTATGATCCTAGTCCTAATAATTTTAGCGTAGTCATAAAATAAAAAACAAAGAAAAACCCACAATGACATTAGAATACCTATGCCCATCCCACCAGTGTGTACAGTCTGTACTCTCCTATATCATACAAACCGGGATTAACTCACTTGTTAAAAAAACCTTAAAATTAAGGAAGTGAAAAAATTATTTTGTCTAATTTTATAAAAAAACAGCTCTTTCAAGTTTCAACTCCAATGTACAAAATGTAAATGATATAATAAAAGTAAAATTTTCAACATTACCACACTATGGGCTCCATGCAGTATTTGTTAAATATAAGCCTTTTGTGCCTCCCTAGTAGCTCAGGGGTTAAAGTCTCAGCACTATCAATCTACTCCCAGCCACTGCTGCACAAGTTCTACACCAGCCAGGGAGCTGACCTACATGGCACAGTAGACTTCTCCAGTCTTACCCACTCTCCCCTCAGCGGTGTATTTCAGTAGATCTGCCTGTTCTGCTCCTCACTCTGTCTCTGGTGAATCCTCTCATTCCCCGCACCTCTGCCTACACCCCAGCTCTTGTATGCATAAATAAAAATAAATTTATAAGATAAATAAATGGATGCCTTTGAAAAGCCCAGATTTAACACATTGCTATGGGTATGTTTTATTAAACAGCAACGTTGGTATGACAATAAAAAGACATTTTTCCACACTGTTTGCTCTAGGGCAAAGATCTCTTGAATCATTAATTATACTCTACAAAGCTACGATCATTCCTATTATGACAGTCCAAAGTAGGTATAGTTTATTTACAATAGGTACAAACCTTAGTGGAGAGAAATATTTAATGAACTAATAAAAAATGAAAGAAGCATATAACTACTATCCTGGGAATCAAGGCACTCAAGGCCACAGAGCCTCACTCATTTCTTTTTCTCTCCAGGTAATTTACATCCTTTTATCACACTCATCACTATTTCTCAAGAATTCTTTCTCTCCGCCCATTTCTATTTCCCTCTTTCCAAATATCTGACTCATCAAATTTTTCTTCAGCTTCACCTAATAAGGCAAGTTTCTTCACTGAGTTTTCATGAAATTTTATTGAAAGGGGATCCTTTTGGAACTAGAGCAGTGTGAATGAGTCAAAGAAAAGGAAAATACAGTGATGGGAAGAGGGAATGGGACAATATAGGGTTCAGATCTATTCTGCCTAAATCTGAAATATATCATTTCTTTTGCAGCATCAAAACAGAACAGGACTAATTCCCACTAAACCTCTATATTGGTAAAGAAACACCATCTACCTATACCAGGTTGCTCATGACAGAAGCAAGGAAGCAGTTTCAGGTTTCGTAAGTGGATAGCCAGAACATCAGTGAATACCTCCCCTACCGGCCAGTGAGAGGTCACTTGTGTTCCAATGGCTACACTCGCTTCTCTTCTTTGGCCCACAACATTACAGATATAATTTTATATGTTCTTCATAGGCTAGTAACAAGTTTCCATAGGTGGCAATTGCACAAGCTCCTATTTCATTTATGATACTTTTTTCACAATCATCATTAGGAAGGAATTCATTACAGACAGGTGTATTTTACGTTTGCTCTCAATTGTTCTTTGTGAGACCTAAGAGGTGGGAAAACACTGATAGGAAGGGAAGGACAGACAGGAATGGGAACTCCTGGGTGTGGCTATGGCTATATGGAGGTTGGAGGACTTTGACAATGTCTGAACTCTAAAGTATGCAAAGTGCAACTACCTGCTAGAGAGCTTGTCTGATGTTCAGTTCTGCACAATTGTGTAATGGGAAACCCTGATGCAATGCTTAAATAACCAAAATCACAGAAATGAAGGGAAGGACACATCTTGCCTAGTTTGTGTAGGTATAGCATAAACTCAGTTTGATAGTGCAGAGAAAACTTAAAAAGAAAAGATTCCATTAAAAAATGTCTTTTAACTATTTTCAATTGTGGTATTAAGTAGCTTATTTCTGTGTCAAACTTGAGATTTCTGAAAAAGAACACAGTTTTATAAAGAAATTAAAACCACAGCAATGTCAAAGAATCATTTTATCTCACAAAAATAATCCCAGGGCACATTTTGTCCACAACATATATCCTATGTATTGTACTGCATTCATACTTCAACCACTGTCCCATTTACTCTCACAACAATCACAAAACTATAGAAATATATTTTCATTTCTAGGGAAGGGAGCGAGAGAGTCCTAAGATATAACATTAATTTCCTTCACAGCTGGGATGCAAGGTGGAATGCTGCAAAACAACTATGATATTTTAAATCCTAAAATGACATCTAAGATTGTGTTAGCCAATTTTTTACTTTGGTTTAAATGCTTTAAAACCAAAAGCAAATGAGGAAAATAAATGACACGTTCAAAAATAGCACATCACAACTTATTGCTCTGAAAGGGCTTTGTCAATCAATTAAATGATGAACCCCTGTGAAAGGAACTGCAATCGCTAAAGGGAAAAGTTTGCTGATTTAAAGGGAACTGCACATCTGTAAGCTTCCGGGACAACCTCTAGGTGCTGCTATAGAGACCCCCTTCCTAAAGACTTTATTTCTTTCTCGGTGTTTTAGCCTCCGCCTCCCCGACTGTACTGCACTGCGCAAAGCCTTTGTAGACAATTCCTTCAAACATATCTGCTGTAGGAAAACCCTCAGACACTAACACTAACATTCTTCAAAGTTTAAGGAGCCAAATTTTCATTTCAAATCATACTACCCTACGGATGGACTATCGAAAAAAATAATAGGTTAGCAGTTTGCGTCAAAGTAACCGGGAGCCCCAGAAGCAAAAAAGACATCTACATTTGGAACTCTCTCCTTCCCCCCAGCCATCTCTCCATACGAAATATTACTAAATGTTAAAAAGCAACCCCGTGCGTAAGTTAGAGCTGTCAGATGAGATCGGGAAATGTGGGAGTACGGGGTGGGGCGTTTCCTGCGAAGAGCTCTTAGAGACTATATCTGGTATGTCAGCTCCTGCATCCTAGAAGCTGCTGAGAGATGGTGGAAGCTCAGAGGAAAACTGTGCGAGCGTCAGGGGGAAGGGGAGGCCTCAACGTTCGATTCAGATTAACCAGCGCCAGCCCGAGGTCCCGGTGCCCCCGCACCTCCTCGGATCCGCAACACCCCAACAACCGCAGGGGTTGCAGGGCCAGGGACCCGGCGCTCGGAGGTCACAGGGCCGGGCGAGGATGGGGAAACCAGCGACTTACCTCTGATGGACCAGGTCCAGCGGTAGAGCTCCACGGTTTCGTTGAGCGCATTGGACACCACATTCAGGACACTGCCCGGCTCAGAGTCCAGGAGCCCCATGGCGACAGTAAGCGAGCACTGGCAGCGGAGGGAGGAAAAAGTGGAGACCCCCGCGGGAGGGGCGACCTCGGAGGCGAAGAGCGAGGGCGCGATCGGCAGCCGGGGACCCCTCTAACGGCGGCGGCCCAGCTGCGTCTTCCTCACCTCCTCCGGGCGCCGCGGCCACAGCGATGCGACTGCGGCGGCGGCGGCGGAGACAAGCCGGGCGGAGGAGAAGGCAGCGTCAAGGATCCCTGGAGGAGGAGGAGATCTCGCTGCGAGTGCTGTGCGCTGCACCACTCCGCCGCCGTGGAGCTGCGGCGACTCCAATCTCCTCGGCCGCCGTCACGTGGCCGCGCGTGGGGCGGAGGGGCCGGCACGCCCCTCCCCCCGCCCGCGCGCCCGTACTCTTGCGCAGGGATGCTGCGCTCGGGGGGCGGCCGGGCGCAGGTCCGCGCAGGCGCGCGCTGCCCAGCACCCCTCGTCCCTCACCCCTTTCCGGGTCGCGCCTGCAGCTAGACACCTGGCCGCTCTTTGCCACCCCCCTCTTCTCCATTAGGCTCCCCATTTCACCCCTCCTCCCTCGCCAACATCAGGCTCCGCGGAGGTGTTCAGAGCCTTCACGAGTGACCTCGCATCCGCCCCGATACATCTTAGGAAACAGGACAGAGAAGAATGGGCATTTTGTGGGCAGTATGCTGCCCACAAAGGTAGGCGACGTGCTGTCATTCATTTCGATCTTTCTTGGGTTGTTTCCATCACCAGTACCAGAACATGTTAACAAAGGGAAATGCAGAAGTTATGCCTCTAAATGAGTGCAATTCCTATTCCAAGCAGCAGTGATGAAGAATAGACTTTGGGGTCTGCTCATTAACGAGTTAACATAATTTGAATGAATACTTGCATATGTTCCGGAAACCCATTATTACATGGACTTATCAAAGCAATGTAGTCTGTTAGATGGGGTCCTTAGGAGTTCAGAGAAGAGGTAGGATCAAGGTGGGCTTTAAGTGTTACAGAAGACAGTTTCGACCTTAAAGGTGTTGAGGTGGATCTAAGTCACATAAAGTTTTGTAAACCAATGTTATCTCAATAAAAATTGGTACTTTTTTTTTAATTAAAGTCTAATTTGCTCAGGAGACAGAGACTATCAAGGTGAAAGAGGAAGAAATATTCTTTTATTTTAAAAAAGTGTTTCAACAGTAATTTGGTGAGTGACCACAGACAATATATCGCTAAAAGGTGAACGCTAAACATTAGTATAAACATGCTACATACAACCATACCTTGATAGTTTCTAATATAAACAAGGCCTTTGGGGATATTCCAATAACCTTTTCACCTACTTGTTATTTAAGCATGTCACCTACTTTCTATTTAACCTTTTCTCCAATTGTTAGTTTAGAATGCTCTATATAAAGGCCACTGAGTCAAATGAGTGATTGCTTCTGCTCTTTGACACTGTTAAAGTAATGTGAACACTATCTTATATTTATTTGGTTTATTTTCCAATGACCCAGTTATATATAATTTAGCCATATTTTGTTCCTGAAGCATCCTAGAGGATAAGAACTATTTTTTTGTTCCTTGTTGCAGACCTAACCCAGTCCTGTAAATAATAATTAATAACTATTCAAGATGATGTCAAATTATAACATCTTTCAGAACATAATAAGGACTGTTATAAGTGACAGGGGCTTCAGGGAGAGAAAAGGTAATTAAAAGTAATTTATTGTTTCACTCAAGCAACTCTCATTAAATGTGCTAATCTTGACATTAACCTAGTAAAATATAATTTATCAACTATATTTAAGAGATTAAAGTGCTTTGACTAAAATTATGGTTCCTCAAGTCTCAACCCCAATATATATATATAAAACAGATTCTAGTAGCTACATTTTTAAAAGTTCGGTCAAATCTCTACATTTGAAAATGAATATAGATTAAAGATCTACTCATATACTTTGATAATCTAGCAGAAATTCTGATTAGTTTGACCTTCACTCAGAAATTTGATTACTTCTACTTTATAGTGAAATTATGGATGCTTTATAAGAAAGAAGATCCCCACCCTCATCCCCATTGTTACATATAAAACCTCAGCATCTTTACTCATTTAGTACAATGTGAAACTTAAAACTACATCAGGTATTGCCAGTCTCTTATAATGAAGGGCAAAGTAAGTCCTTCTATTCGCTAGAGGGCGCCTGTCACATGCAAGAAAATCCCAGACAAGTGATGAAAAATAAGTCAGAAGTAGCATTTACACTGCTTTCATGATCACCTAAAAAAGTACTTTGAATATTTATTTGCATTTTTTTAATTTTCTAAACATACACTAAGGGCAGAACCTCGAACTTACCCATGCTGGAATCCTAGCATGAGTCCAGTACTTAATTCCCAAATGTGGTTTACAAATGCCAATGACTGATCAACAAAACTGCAGCCGGTATAGAGTTTGCAAAGGAAAGGAGACCTACATGTCCACTCTTCTAGAGGGAACACTAAGATCTAACCAAGATTTTGGGGGCATCTTGACTGGACAAAATCAAATACAAGCATCGATCGTAGCTACAAAATTTTGAGGACAGTTCTCTGTTGTGGTTTGAAAACCAATTAAAACAGCAGCATTCTACCAAAAACTAACGGTAAGTACATTATTCTAGTATAAGTGACTTTATATAAAATTACAAAATTAGGGCCCTCCCTGGTGGTGCAACGGGCTAAGCACAGATATGCAAGCTAGCCGCAGCTGCTTCAGTGCGTGTTGGATCTCCGGTCCTAGGTCCCAGAGGTGGTCCACATGGCGCAGCAGACCTCTCCTGACCCACCCGCTGCTCCTCTCAGCAGTGTACTTCATTGATCTGCCTGCTGTGCTCCCCACTCTGTCTCTGTGAATCCTCTCACTGCTCCTACACCTCTGGCCTGTACCCCAGTCCTGTATGCATAAATAATTTTCAAAAAAAATACAAAATTATTTTAAATGTGTTACAATTCATCCAGAGTTAACATAAACTGAACTATCCTTTTTTTTTTTTTCCGTTATTTCCACTTTCTCACACTGTCAATATTGTTACCAACTTCTGCTTTCAAAGAAAAATGAACCGAGGAATCTGTGGAATCAGGAGTAAGAGGAAGTAGACTGATGAAAAGCTGGTAGGAAGATCCTGAATCATACAGAAGTGAACTTTGCTAAGTGGACAATATTTATAGAAAGTAGAAAAAAATTATTGATATTAATTGCTTCTTACTAGTTCTTGTCTATTATTCTGTAAACCACTTCTCTTTCACTCCATAGAGTTTTTTTAAAATGTAGTATCCATAATATTAGTTTTTAACTAATTTGGAATACAATCTTAGACTTAAAACATTCTTTTAAAAAAATATTTATTTAGTTATGCATACAGAACTGGGATACAGACCAGAGGCACAGGGGTGGTGAGAGACTTCACCAGAGACAGTGTGGGGAGCAGACAGGCAGATAGACAAAGTACACTGCTCAGGGGAGCAGCAGGCGGGTCAGGAAAGGTCTGCTGCACCATGTGGATCACCTCTGGGGCGGGGATCGAACTAGCACTTTGAGGCAGCTGCTGCCAGCTTGCAGTGCTGCATTCTAACCCATTGCGCCACCAGGGAAGGCCCTTAAAATATTTTTGTTTTAAAAAATTTAAGATGTTTGCATTTTTTTTTTTTTACTTAGTACAGATCATCATCAACTTGTGATGGCGTTACATACTGATAACCCATCCTACACTGAAAATACTGTTAGTCAAAAATGTTGACAGGAAACAGTGCCCCCACCCTGAGGCTGCTGCCCAACATCAAAACAGAGAAATGTATAGCAATTTCTACTGAAAAAGTCAAAAAGTCAAAAAATTGTAAACCATTGTAAGTTAGGGACCATCTACATACATACAATTATTTTTGTTACATTAAAATACATTTTAAAGATAAGATTCTCATAGTTCATGAATATTGAATTGATAATAAGCAAATAAAACAATGCAAAAAATCCCTAATAATCTCATCTCTATTCCTAACAAATTATTTTTCCAGATTTATATATATTTTTATTTTTTTTAGATTTGCTTATTTATGCATACAAGAACTTGGGTACAGGCCAGAGCTGTGAGGAGTAAGGATTCACCAGAGTCAGAGTAGGAAATATAACAGGCAGATCTACTGAAATACACTGCTGAGGGGAGCAGCGGCGTGGCAAGAGAGGTCTCCTGTGCCCTGTGGGTCACCTTCCTGTCTGGAGGTTGAACTCATACCAAAGTGGCTGTGGCTAGTCTCGTAGAGTTGACTAGTAATATTCTACCCTATGGATACATCTATATATTATTTATATATATATTCATATTATGTATTTAGTCACTACAATATATATGAGCATTTAGATTGTTTGCAATTTGAATTATTTCATCTGTTTGACTATTCATATTCCCATATACACCATTTGTGAACTCGTCTAATTTTCCTAGTTTAAATTTTTGCAAGGAGTCACTGAGCTTAACTTAAAAGTTTATGACACACAATGCCTGATTACCCTCCGGAAATGATTCAGTTCACTATTCCATTGAAATCTGTGTAAGTGTACACATTTACCTACATCTTATTCTCCTTACTAAATTTAATTATGCTTTAGGGAATTACAGTGATAGACAAATGATGATTCACGTTGCTTAATCATGTTTATTGACATTTTAGCTTCTTTTGAGAATTGCCTATGTACATTCTTTGTACACTTTGTATTCGTTGTGTCTATTTTCTTATTAATGTATAAGAGATTTTATGGAAAAAAGTGACTGACAGTTTATGAGATATGGTGTAAATGTGTACCCCCAGTTTGTCTTTTACCAGATTTATTATAGTAATTTTTAACTGGGCATATTGGAGGCTGGAAGTAAGTTAGATTCATATCACCACCAGAATTATGTATATGTGAATGCTTAATGGTCTTTTTCAAACTATGTAGTTCTGATCCACAAATCTATTCTAGGAGAATGTGTTATTCCTTTCCAAAATATCTTGGTTTTGTTATTCACTGTTTCGGGGTTACCTATTTGTAATCCTAGCCTATAGTTCTTAGCTTTTATAGGTCAAAGTCATTGGTCTACTCTCTCCCCAGTTAGCTATATTTTAAGACCATGTAGACACAACATCAAGTCTTTCATTTGCAGACATAGTGATAGAAGTGCCAAGTTATGGTACCACTGCCATTTAACATCAAAACAATAGAATATTCATCACTGCTGTTTTCA